TTTTTTCTATAAATTAGTCATTGCTTTGTATCTATATGACTATTCAGAAAATGATATCCTGAAATTATGCAGCATTGAGATCCTGGCTGTTTTCAAAAAAGGACCAGGGGCAATTCCTAAGGGAAAGAAATTGAAAAAGAAAAGACCCAGTTAAGGCGCAAAATTATATCCAAAGATGCAAGATAGAGTTGCCGAGGATAAAGATTTTTGAGGATCTCCGTCCGTTGTATTGTGAAATTTAACTGGACAAAAAGAATTCTGGTTTTCCATTTTCTGCATTTGCTCCATTGGACAATGTTGTATATACTATATAGACTTATTCAGAGAGATTAGATGAATTAAACTGCTATGTCGTGTGATAGTGTCTGGTGACAAACAATATACAACTATGGACATTTATTCTCTTACAAATCTGGACAAAACTGAATTTATTCAATAAACAAAGGATTTTGTGTTTTTCTGAAAAGTGGCAGTATATCGTGTTTGTGAAAATCAATGTCACTTCTCACTTCTGGTGGACTTACCCAGTTGAGGAAAGGCACTCAATATGTTGTGTGCTCTCAAGTCCTGCCTTGTCAAAATTCCCACAACGGGAGGCACCTATCAAACGGTCAAAAAACAGGTCAGTATTCTGTTTCTTTCTTATAGCAAATTTTTTTATGCTTTCCCATCAGAGTTCAATGTTTCGCGAAAAAAAAAAAAAAGAAAAGAGCATCAGATACCATACTTTGTAGTTAAATCCAAACACAGCCTTCGGCTACGAACTTTTGCATTAAAGTTTCTTTTGGTGATAGATAGTTCCAGATGTCCAATAATGAAAAGATGGATTAATTGCAAAAACTATCCCTAAGTTGTAAACTTACCCAGGCTGCTGGATATTTTGGCAGTACGAGCATGTGACGGAGGCCCATTTCCCTAAACAGCACCATCGCCTTCGCCAGTGACATGTTCTCCACCACGCTGTACGGCGTCATATTGGTCAAGGGATGTAAATCCACGAACATCCCCATTTCGTCTCCAGTCACCCTCACCTCCTCAATCTTCCCTGACCTCTCGTCCAAATCAGTCGAACTAATCTTTTCCCTCACTTCCCACTCATCCATTCTCCTCTTTTCCTGCAGGAACCATTTTTTCTTCAAAATCAATACAAGGTGTGACCTCAAGATCAACCCGTGCAGTTTGGGAGCCCTGTCCGGCCCTCCGTCCACTACTGGAAAACCGTTGTGCGTTGTCCTTTTTAACACCTCAATAATGCTGCTTACTTTCTCGACCCCACTCAGACTAACAACCGCAGGCTTTACATCAACTAGCTCACCAACTGTTACGTTCCTCATCCACGGCTCAGGATGCGCATGGAGAAAAGGTAACCCTTTCAGTTTTAGTATTATTTCGTAGATGCTCGGGTTGAAACAGTCACCCACTGTCTTAGCAATCAGTAGAACCAACATTGTGATGGGTAGGAGGAGGAGGTTATTGGTGAGCTCAAGGAATATCACACATAGCGAGACGGTCATTCTCATGGAGCCCGCCATGAGAGAGGTGGCCCCGAGCACAGCATAGAGGCCCTGGTCGATCCTCGTGTATGGGCCCATAACGATGCCCAACAAGCGGCCGTAGGCCGAGCCCATTAAGATAATGGGGAGGAAGAGGCCCGACGGGACGGCGATGCCGAAAGTGATGAGCCCCAACACGCAGTAGAGAGAGAAGAAGATGAGGAGAGAGAAGATTTGGAATTCTTTAGGAGTGTTTACGGAGAAGATGTTGCGGACGGCATCGTCATTGGTGGTGAGGAGGAGGGTGGCCAGGTCATTGTAGTGGCCGTCCGGGCAGTTGAACTGTTTGAAGTTGCCTACTTGGCCAGTCGTTGGGCAGGAAGAGTGTAGCCGGGAGGAGTCACAGGGTTGGCATCTCGCGAGGAAAGGGAGCCCATACATGCATACGGAGGTGAAGATGGATACTGTCAAGCTGAGGAGGATTTTGTGCAACTTTCCCTTCCTGCGTAATGTCATTGCACGTGTCAAAATCGGAAAGCCTGAGTTAAATGGAACTTTCTGCTTACGGTATCAGTACATTAGATTCTCTGTCGTTACGATATTTAAGGAATAGGGCTATTTACATAACTTTAGCCTGATAATACAAAAAGGGGAATCATTGCAAAAGGTTACATTTAGATTTGGCCAAATTACAGAAAAACTCTGCTAATTTGGAATTACAGAAAACACCCTCTAGCTAAATTTGTCTTACATTTTGCGCCTGCCTTTGTGTAGTTAACAGAAAGTGCTGGAGTCATGGAATGTTGTTGGCAATAGTTTTCTGAATTTTACAGCATCAAATTTCATTCTTATATTTCAACTTACATATACTTCAATTTTCTAGATATTACAAACTGCCAGGATCAAAGATGAGGCTATATATGTAATATTTTGATAATAGAGGTTACTGTAGATATTCGATGTTGTCAGCATATTCGTGTACATGGCTTATAGTAGGGTAAAATTTAAGACAAAATCACCTCAACGTACAATTTTGGAATTCTTTATTCTTTATTTTTTATAATTGGCAAGTACCCAAAACTTTATGGGTATATTCGTAGTTGTTCCTTGTAAGCGAATCCAGTTACTTTCAAAGTAAAATGCCATCTGTAAATATTGATTGCATTCTACCTAAATTCGGACAGGAACACAATTGAGATTCAAACACATCAAGAAAACGAGCCTTACTGGTTGATCACGTTGTACACCTTGAGGACCTTAAGGAGAAGGTGGTTGTAAAGGCTCCCCAACATCCCACCAATCACACCTATCACAGCCACAGGGATAATATCCACCGCATGATACCTCACGGAAACATCGCTCACGTCAAACATGATCAACCCTCCCTGCCCGAACAGCCCGCAATCCCCAGACTTGCAGTACTCCATGAAGGCCCTTAGCACCACAACCACAACTGCTGTGCTGAAAAAAGTCCTCCAAAGGAGAGCGCTCCTCCACCATGTGGCCACCTCCTCGAGGGCAAAGAGGACTCCTCCCACTGGGGCCCGGAAAGCCGCACAGACACCGCACGACGAGCCACAGGTGATGAGGTCACGCCGGTCTCTGTCGTTGTTGAAGTGCCTCAGCCAGCACCATTTTACACGGTGGTTGTCGGGCCCACCTTGGCCCAGTAGGTAGGCTATGCAGGTACCAATGTGCACCAATGGCCCTTCTTTCCCGAGATCTAAGCCCGCGGCTACTGCTCCGATGCTTCCGATTATCTGGAATGATGGTGAGATGAATAAAGTGCACGTCTCAGCTGATATGAATCTTTGCCATATTATTAATTGATATTGTTTTTACAGGGATAATTGCCATTTGGTCCACTCTTGCTAGATTTTTTCTCTTCAAACACCGGTGGAATAAATTCAGTGGTAAGTAATACTCTTCCACACTTGATTATGTTTAAACCTTAAATTTAGGATTGAAAATCTCCTTAATCCTCACCTGATGTTGCTCAATTCTCATTACATTATTTAATCTCGGTTGTGCAAGAAAACTTTTTTTTTTAAAAAAAAAAAAGGTGTGGACTAAATGATAATGAAGAAAAGCTAAAGGGACAATATATTTGCACTAGTTTTTATGCCTGACTGCATTATATTCTCAATAAGAAACGAGAATAAATTGTTTTGATGGTAATATTGGAAGTTAAAAGCACAAGTTACTAGTGGTAATATTGTACATCTCTTTCTCTAAGTTCAAAACAACCGTCACAGCCTCGTGGATTCCGTATCTGCTTAGATCATAGTTTGATTATAAGTAGTCGTGAACTATGATATCGCTGTCTGTCTTTTATCATGTATAACACGAAAACATGAGAAAATGAGATGCTAATATCTCTGAAAAAGGTACCTTCACTATCAGTGTTGTTGCACCAAACATATTGGGTGTGTCAACTCCATTCAAATAAGCTTTTATTTCAGGTATTCCTGGACCAGCAGCAGTAGGTGCAAAACAAGTGCATAGAATTGTAGCTACCAATGTCAGAAGAAAGTTAACTCCAGCCACATACACTAGTCCCATTATGTACCTGCATCCATCAAACTAAAATTCAGTCACTAATGTAATAGTTCTGTCATTTAAACAAGCAACAATTGTCATTATTATCATCATTATCATCATCATTAATGATTTTCTCTTACCATTGGTTCTCTTGGGTTTCATCTCTAGCCTACCCCAACTTGCTTGGGACTAAAAGGCTATGTTGTTGTTGTTGTTGTTGATAATCTTTTTTTTTTTTTTTTTTTTAATAATATGATAAAGAAAATTGGAATAGTGCACTGGTTTCTGAAGATTTTGTAATGTTGAAGGTAATATTACTGCACCTTTCCTGCTCGATATACCGGACCACAGCGAGCAGTTTGTAGCCCGCAATATTTTCAACTGCTAGATTGATGAGAGTGGCTGTAAGTCCTGTTAGAAGCCCAACAAGAAATGCCAGCAGCCATTTGAAGAAGATATACTGTAATACTTCAAATTGTGATCTGCTCCTCCAGTCTTGCTTGAACAGGTCATTTTCATTTATCCTGTACCGATCACCAATCCATATCTATATTAACTTTCTGAATAAAATAACCATGCAACTATTGAGATGATAAGGTACATTGAAATATCTGAAAATCTGATCTTACTCGTAGTCCAAGCTCTCCACGTGAGACACCGTCGCCCCAACTATGGCAAGCGGGCTCGAAGAAAATGTTCGATTTCTTTTGAGCAGAGGCCGATGAAGCGTGTTGCTTTCAGGGTCATTTTCTTCCTTCTCATCTCCTTCTGTTTCTATGCCAGCTGCTTCCTCTTCTGGTAACTTGTTAAAATCCTCCATGAGTGCAGATTTTTTATGGCTGATTTTCGAAAAGAAGCAACTGCGTGGCGGTTATCCAGCTTGCAGTTCTAAAAATGGAAAAAAAACTGAGCTTGTTCCTTTGTCTTTGGAAGAAATAACATGTTGGAATTTTGGCTCAGAATCAAACACTGTTTGTTTGGCTCTGAAGTTAATAATGCTAACAGACTTGGGGGATTTTCATGTATTATATTATGTAGAAAGGGCAATGCTGTGTTGGGAAGTTGTCCAATTTTTTGAAAAGTGGATAGAAAGGACAAATATTAAATGATTGTTTTAAACTAAAATTTGGGGTATCTGTGGAATTTATTAATGGGATGACATTCAAATAAAATTTTATATGTTATATATGTGTTTGCAAAGTTCTAAATCATAACTTAGATAATAAGCATATCACATTTTAATATTTTATCATTAGTGTAAATAAATGATGTAAATATAAACTATTTAACTTACATGTCAATCTTTATAATGATTGCAATGGTGTAATTTATGCAATCTTGGCTAATTTTGACCAATTATTAAGGAAAAATAATATCGATATTATCATTTTAGCTCATAGGGTAAATGTCTTGTAATTCCGGTCTAGGACCTAAGACACTTCTTCCTAACTTTGAGCTGGCCTGAGTGGTTAGCCGGAACACATGCAAAAAGTTGGGGATCTTTTCGGCGTAAAGGTTCTGACAATCAAAATAGTATATTTATTGGTCAAGTTGGTAATAACAATGAGTTGTGATTATAATTATTGATAAGAAACCTTTACCTAAATATATAGAGGACATAATTTGATGTCCAAGAGTCTTAACCCGAGTTGATCTATGAGTAAATTATGGACTAGTACACAAGGTCGATGGCCGACCTAGACCTTGCATTGTATCCAAATTGATACGTCAACCAAGTCGTCACTCTGAACTTTGCATCGAGTCGACCCTAGTGAGCAATAGTGCTAAGTGTAGATTGGTTCAATCAGTCTCCAATACCGATCGATGTGATTGGGTCAGGCTAAGGCCTCATTCGTGGCCAGTTGTACCATATCAATAACAATTATGTATGAAATTTTATGAAATTTGGTTATGTCATAAAAAAATAATTAACTAATTTTAATAAAAAAAACTTATGTGGAAATGAAAACAATTGTCATATTTTTCTTTTTTTTTTTTTTTTTGCCAATAATTATATAGATTGATTATGTCCAATTATAGGTGCAACACAGTGGAATATTAATAAACATGACGTGTACCGTGTGGCGGGATCGAAACCTGGGAGGAGCAGAATGCAGATACTTGAAGTGGTCGGCCCGTTGGTCGCCCAAGAGTGTACAACTTCGGACTAACTTGAAAGCCACTGTCGCAAGTCTTAGATTTAACTCCCGAAATCACTGTATTGGAGACTGGTCGAACCAATATGCACTTAGAAGTATAGCTCACTAGGGTCGACTCGATGCAGAGTTCAGAGTGACGGCTTGGTTGGCGTATCGATTTGGATACAATGCAAGGTCTCTAGGTCGGCCATCGACCTTGTGTACTCGAAGTTAGGAAGAAGTGTCTGTCCTGGTGCCATGTGGCAACAAAATGAGGCAATCCAAATACCATTGAAGATGCTATAAGTAGTCGAGTATAGTCAATGTCACTGGCAATGAACAATTTAGTTGGCGGATAAGCTCAGCATAGAAAAAGAAAATGCCATTTGCACAAAACAATTGTATATGCATATTATTTAAGACAATAGTTTTCGTAACTTACAACCCAAAAGATTCGTATGCCTCAATTAGGTACTACCACACGTCATTTTTATTAATATTGCACTGTGTTGTACCTATATTTGGACATAATACCTTAGACAAATTGTTCAATATTTATTCTCAATATTATAAAATCTCATAATTTTATTTTCTTTCATTTACCCATCCATCCACATCGCAAATGAGATAATAAAATTCTTTTATTAAATTTGATTAGAATAAAAATAAACTACAAATTAAAGAATAATATAATATCAATGTTATAGTAAAATTAAATACGTAAAAAGAGATAAATACTCACCAAAAAATTAATAATAATAATAATAATAAATTCTTTCTTCAATTGACTTTATAAACAATCGGGAGACAAAATTATAATTTTGAAAAATAGTCGTATGGTACAATAAATTAGTTCGCTTGAAATCAACCAACCAGCGAATCAATCTTCAATAAATTAAATATATATATATATATATATATATATATATATATATATTAATTAAGGATCTTAGTTGTATTTTTTATTTTATAATTAAAATTTCAAAAATATTTAAATAAAAAAAGTACTAAAAATGAAAAATGAAAAAATGAGGCCCTAATTGATTTGAGGTCAGTCAATGGCTTTGGCAACTTGCCCAACAGTCCGTCCTGCGTGGCACAAAAAGAACCTATATTGCCTAACAAAAATTTGGAGCCTTCTACATGTAGACGGTTTTACTATGGAGCAATCAGATGGCTCGGCTTATGAAGTCATCCATAATTATTCACAAATAGCGTATTGACACGTTTCTTACAATAAATACACTTTGGACAAGTGTCAATACATTAAGTGGTTGATGAATGCATAAGAAAACTATCTGATGGCTTCATAGAATTTTTGACATGTAGAAGTACTTCTAGACAACTTCTATTACGTATTATATTATTTATTCAATTTATTTCTTTTTCAATCAAATATAAATTTACACATGTTAAATTAAACTATCTTTAACATTAAACATTGGAGATACAATTTCTTAATTCCCTTCTTTCATGTCATGCAATCCAAAATAGACAATTTATCATTGGAGATGCTCTTAGATATTTAGAATGACAATTTTGTTAGGAAGATGACCAACCTTGCTCTTTTAACTTTGAGCTATATCATGTAGAGGACCATCTAGAAGTTTCATTAACTCCAATAGCTTTACAAACTATTTGTAAGATAAAGAATAATAGCCATTCAAAAAAATCTTATTAGTTCATGAATTTCATGAATTTGAACTTAATGATAAATAAGATTTTAAGTACCAAAGATATAAATAGTACTTCCTTGATTTGATATCAACTCACAAATAAAAAGAAAAAAAAAAGTTTATTTTAAAGACTAGGTTTTTGAAGTGGGCAGTAATTGCTAGCTAAACATTAAATAAAACTTATTTAGTTAATTGATGAAAATCAACATAATTCAATTTTTAAGGAAGGTCGACCAGACATTTTAAAATTTTTAATATCAGAATAATTTTAATTGGCTTTAGTAGTATAATCAAACATGTTAAATTTTCATAAATAATAATAATAATAATAATAATAATAATAATAATAATAATAATAATAATAATAATACTTTTTAAGATAATTAAATAGTTAGGATCTCTCAAATTTATAAAAACTACATTATCTATTTTATTTTATGCAATCATTATAGTGATGGAGTTGAATATATTTATAATGTTCATTTTACTAATGACAATTTTTTTTTATTAAAATGTAATACTATTATCTAACTTATATTTTCAATATTATATATATACATATAACTTATGATAATTTAAATATTTGTACATGTGTACATGATCGAATACTAGTATTCCTTAATCACATTAAGGTGGATAATTGATTCTACCCAAATATTATTGCAAGGTGCATAATAATGTTGGTCCACCATAAGCATTATGTGCCAATTAAGTCGCTCAATTAGATGTAAAATTTTGTGGTAGTTAAATGCACCCTTATTTAATAGGAAAAATGCTATGATTCCGTTACAGTACTATCTCGTTGGGTATTCTAACCGTTGGATCAATGGTTAAAACACCTGACGGAATGACCACGGATCTTAGTATTTCCCATCTAATAGAGGGGTTGTCTTATTCCATGTGTTTAGTCGATCTTGCTCAAATAGATAAGCACCATCTTGGAGCAAAATCTAAGTAGATCCTACGGTCTCAATTATTTCGATCCAACGGTCTGCAGAAAATGTGACCTTTCTATGGTGTCGCTTTATTTAAATGCAAATTGGCCTCTGTGGTCACGTCGAATCTGTGCCAAATGCCAATGATTGAGCAATACGTTTGTAGCAACATATGCAAATTCGGCACTATATCCATTCTTAGAAGCTCCGTGGGCCTTTCTCCATGGGCCCTAGGGCCCATCAGTGTCCAAGGAGAAGTATGGGCTACAAGATTGCTAATCAATGGATTCTTTTATTCTTTTAAGATATAGTAATTTTCTTAGTAATCTATTCTAGGATTTTCGTTTGGAACGTGGGACCTAGGTAAATTCAAGTAGCTTCTTTTATGCATTATTTTGGCAAAAATGCTATCGGTCCCGTTACGATATCATGTTGTCGGGTGTTTTAACCGTTGGATACACATACACTAACTACATGTGTATTTAAAGATTAAATCTCCCGAGGGCACAGTATCGTGACGGGACCATAGCATTTCTTTTATTTTGGACGAATAGTAGTGAAGCAACTAAATTTGACGATATATTTTTACTTAATTCTCACGCCAGTTTGGTGTTTTCATTTTATTGTGAGGAACAACTCATATTTGAAAGGATGAATTTGACTTTAAAGGGATTTCACACCTATGAAATTAATTAGAAGCCATGATTTCCATACGTCACATAATTGTACATCAAGTATCATGACGTATTTTTTTTTTTTTTT